AGCTTCTAACATTTGATAACTTGCTTTCGTCACAACGACATTCGCGGCAAAACTCGTAGTAGAATGACGACAGCTATCACGTTTTCCCGCCAAAATGACGCTGGTTCATGCACGCGCACTGCTTAGCATTACTCGTAGTCGTCCTCGTCTTAAAAACTAAAGGTCTCAAATAACGTATATAATGCTTGTATCTTACAGGTTTGTGTAGGAAGAATAGTATCATGGATAATGCCTTCGTACCAGGTCAGGCCATCGATTGATGCATCAGTCTTAAGCCAGGATCCTACACAGGTGACAGGTGATACACAACTATAGGGAAACTCAGCCGAGTGTACTTTCGCAAAGAGTTCTGGGATTGTTACTAAGGACAGAGAAAAAGATTGGCCAATTGCTGACTGGCGCGACCCCAGTAACGATCCAAAAAACAATCGCGGGTCAAATTTCTTCTGCAATAAAATTCCCTTCTCGTTTCTAAAAGGCGAATAACACAACTGAAAACTGCTCTCTTTTCCTGAGTCGAAGGAGTGGAACTTTCGTATGCATTTTATCCGCGTTTCCGAAAAAAATTTCCACGACTTTCGAACAATGCCGAAAATATTCAGGTGATTTCTGGAGTTTGCCGAATGATGCAGTGTCCATTCCCTCAAGCCGATCGCGACACTCGACATTTCATACCACTGACTGGAATATTTTGGGTGGAGATTGAATAAACGTTTTTCAGTTTAATGGTTTATGACATGTCGTTCGGAATTTGAGTCAGGAATTCAGTGACGTTTTCCATCTTTCATGATTGTGCAATGAACTAGTAACGTTGGTGGACAGAGGGTTCGTCAAGGGTCATTCTGTCATATTCAGTTAATCAGCCCTAAGATTATACCCCCGGTGGGGGAGGGGGCGGGGAGCTACTCAACAACGTTTAAATGGTAAGGCACTACCCCGAGACCTAACTCCTTACACATTTATCGTTGAAGGAACTCGTCGTGTTTGTTTAGGGTTGGAGCGTCCCCGTATAAAATTCAATGTCACTCATTTCTTTTCAGGATCCATTTAAAAACCATAAGTCTTACAGAAAGTCGAATTTCCTTGAGTACCGGGTGTCCCTGGCGCCTTCTTGCTCTCGCGGTCGATTTGCATGGTGGCAAGTCTAAGGACTCGGCAATAACACAATGTTTACACCTTGTTTATTACTATTGTTTTAGGTTGAAAAGTATGCCAGTGATAGCCTAAACTGGTATGAGAGAATGAATTAAGTGAGATGGGTGGGAGCTATATTAGACGCAATGAATGAAATCCAGAGGAGCTTATTAAGGTTTTGAACACCTTATCTACTTGCCCATGGTGGTGGAGATCAATTAGTGAAGATTGACAGTTCACGATACTTACATGAGAATTCTCCCAGTAACGACAAGACATTTAAGGTACACGAATGAGCTGCTCTACTGACAGCACTGAGCGAACTAATAAACTCTCTACATGGGTATTTTCGACGAATAGTTAGGGCGCTTGACGCGGTATATCATGATGGCAGGAAGAGGCGGTCTTAAAACGGCGTTTGTTAAAGTGTTGTTATTGTCCTGCCCGGAGTAGCAGTTTCGGCCGCCTTGTTTCAAGCGTAATTATTGTGAACTCATCCCAACAACAGTCGTGATTTGTCTAAACCTTTTTAGCCCCAACAGTGACCAATATCAATTTTCTCCTGACGATGTCACCACGTTTTCAAGGGAAAAGGTTATAAGAATTTATAAAATAATCACCAAAGAGGAATTTCTCGTCTCCAAACTTGATGTCTAAAGAATAATATAGAGTTTTCCCTCTTCGGCCAATTTTCCGTCCCGTTGTCACTTTTAAATCTACCTATTATTATTTCATTATTAACTCAACTGCTTGTGAAACTTCCTTTGCAGGTGGACAAAAATGGACGCCATGAACTGTTGAATGAGGTGGAAGAAACTGCGAGCGTGGTTTACAAGGACATTCTTGACTGGATCCAGCAAAAGCTACCTTGAACTATTTTAGGCCGAGTTTACACGAATCCAGACTAATTTTTGAAACAGCATATCTTTTTACCCGGATTCGTGTAGACGAGGCCTTAAACCACCCCTGAGAGCGGTTTCAAAAAGATATTAGGCTGATTTAGCAATAGAACGAGAACGTCAGTTGACGACGACACGCGCAAATCAAACAACTGGCTCGACCAATGGGAGAGCAGCAAATTGAACACCGGAAATCGCGTCCAGTCCTTTCCGCGCGCCCTCCCGTCGTCAACTAACGTAAAATGAAAAATCATCCTAATGTTTCGGTGAGAGGATTCACTGGTTTCATGTGTGGAAGGAATACCAGACGGAAGGCCTCCGGATCCGGATTTTGTGCGGACGGGGCTTTTCACGATTGTCAATCTACAAATATGTCCAAATTCATTTCGTTTTCTTAATTTCCTTCATATGGAAATTCGGTAAATTCAGAAGCCTTAATTTGAATGAGAAAGCCAAATTCTGAAGGATTCTAAAAAGGGCCGTTTGCACGATGGCGTCATTTTACTATATTAGATTCCTTCAGGGTTTTGCTTTCTTGCGCAAGTTAGGGCTTTCGTTATTTAAACCTCAGTGGGATTACCAAATTTAATTATGAAAGAAAAAATGAAATGAATTCCTTTAGTAGCAAAAACAAGTCATCGCCTAAATAGCCAATTAGGCCCAGTGGCCCCAGTAGCCTTGCAGCAGTTCAGCATAGACCCCTATGGGTCGCAGTTCTTTTGTTTTCGAGCTAGGTTCCAAACTTTGTTTGTTCATTGTTTTCCCAACCAATACCCTGACGTCTTCCAAGACCTGCAAGGTCGCCCCTTATATAAAGAAAAGTCGCCCCAGGTTGAAGAGTCACTCGCTCACCCGAGCTACCCTGGGCGAGCAAACATTTGCTACATTTCCTTACCGTAGCGTTTAATTACACTAAAAAACAAATAGTGGGCTCGGATAGAGCCCTTAGCTTTTTCGATGGTAAGGTCACCTTCCTAGCTAAGTCAACTTTTCTCCAAGTAAACACTTGGCTTGCCCAGCCGGCTCAACTCGGTTAAAGCGAGCCAGAGGATGCGAGAGCGCTGTTTTCAGCTAGGGCAAAAGGGTCAACTGATTCTCATATAAACGCTTCCTTAAGTTGACTCGGGCTGGGAGGGTGATCCCGGGAAAATTTTTCTCTATATAAACAGGGCCTCACTCGCATATTTTCTTGATATAGGTTCAATAAACAAAACCATAACTCTGCAGGTGCATCACACGTTTTTGTAAATTTATTCGCCGTCACTACCTTATATAAAGGACATAAGCACCCAAAGACAAATGTCTTTTTCTCTATTTACACTTTGATGTCAGTGCTACCTAAATTAACCAACTTAGCCAATTAAGATAACCCCCACAAATTTTAAAAGTACGCCAAATAGTTTTATAAATGACGTTTCGCTACCGTCGCCTCCCTAATGTCGGGCGTATTAATCTCGAGCAACTGACGTTCAGTCAGAGTCAATCTCTGTATTTTGAACGCCATACGTTAGTAACGTCTCATGTTAGGTTGTCTGCTTTGGACTAGAAAAGGTACCGGCACGATCGAGAAACGGACTCCACGTGGTTTTGCCTTCAAGTCCTCGTGCGAAGGCCTCGTCGGCCTGAAAAGGACGGGAGACCTCGGAGACGAAAATACCGGTCACCTGGAGCGAGAGGCGACGGGGAGAAGAGATAGCCTGGGAACGAGATTGATTTACAGTTTAATGTTTCTAGAGAATAATAACCTGTGATCACGTTCTCCCTGAAAAAAAACGTAAAACGCCTGTTAAAAAAAAAACGATAAAACATGAAAAACTGTATAGCTTTACACTATTTCCTTGTTTCTGTTTTCGTCTTTTGTGGCTATGGTTTGTATTTTTGGATTCTGTTTCAGTTTTGCGGTTTAATTTTGTATCTTTTTGAGTGTGTTTCCTGTTGGGGATGCTTATTTCCGTTTTGGGATTTGTGTTTCTGTTTTCTGGTAGTGTTTTTCTGTTTTGGGTTTCCCATTTTGTCTTATGTGTTTCAGTTTTGGGTTTGTTCTTTCCTATTTTTGTTGTTGTTGTTGTCTTGTGGTTTTTTTGTTTCTATCGGCCACCCTATATATTTGATAGTCCTCTGCATTTATATCCAACCACTGGAGAACACTTCAAAACTCCGTTGAAAATTTTTTCACAGGTATCAAATCGTTCAGGTAAGAAATAATCTCCTTTAACTTGGAATTTGCCTAATCAGATATTTCTGCAAGGTTTATTATGATTTCCTGCTGTAGTAAGTTTGGACCGGTTTGCGACCGCGAAGCAAAGTATGTTTGTTCGATGTTAAACAAAACGCCCGACTAGAATATTGTTTTGGCCGATTTGTGTTTCTCTTCCTTCGTTGTCTCCCTTTTCCGCTTCTCTCTTCCACTTCCTTACCACCACCCTTCGCGATCGGCCATAGTCCGACCGGGCAGTTCTGACTTTTGGAAAGCGCCCTAAGTAACTAAGTAACAGTAACAGTAACTAAGTGTACCCAATTTGACCAAAATCGACCAACACCTATTTCCAAGCCTACCACACTCTCTCAGGCAGAACTTCCCAACTATATTTTCATTTGGTATCACAGGAGTGTCAAAAATGATTAGTTTTTGTTTTTTCTTTTTGTTTTCTGAATAATTAGGTAGGGTACACAAAGATTTTTTTTAGTATTTTCATCTTAATTTATAGAAAAAAGTTTCAAGGGATTCTGCATGAAATATTGTATTATAACAGACAGAGTTATTCAGGAGATGCGTTAGTTAGATTAAATCTAGGGACGAAGAAGTGGAAAATTCTATCATGTCTTATCTGTCTAATGAAGACAAAATATTTTCAATTGATTTCAAATGTACTAATGACAACTATTTTGCTTTTTTTTACCTCCACGCACCTCTAAAGAAACGCTACGCCTAAGAAACAGTTCAACTTTTAATACTAAAACCTCGAAATGGCAGAAAGAATACTACAAGATATAGCTGAACAAAAAATACCTCTTACAAAAGCGCAAATCATTAAAAACAGGGCAGAGAAAGTACGTGCCTGGGCTCTAGCTAGAGATTATTACTCCCTCGGTGACTTCCATCAAGCAATAGAGTACTTCAATCAATACCTGAGCATTGATAAGGAAAACAGTTGCAGAGCATGTGAAGGAAAAGCCTATCGCAATCTCGGCCATGCTTATGAATCCCTCAGGGAATTCCAACGAGCAATAGAGTACTACAAGAAAAGCTTGTGCATTGCCAAGGAAATCGGTGACAGGGAACTAGAAAGATGTGCCTATTGTAATCTCGGTGATGCTTATGAATCCCTCAGAGAATTCCAACGAGCAATAAAGTACCACAATCAACACCTCAGCATTGCCAGGGAAGTTGGTGACAGGGCATGTGAAAAAAAAGCCTATTGTAGTCTCGGCAATATTTATCATTCCCTCAGGGAATTCCAACGAGCAATAGAGTACCAAAAGAAAAGCTTGTGCATTGCCAAGGAAATCTGTGACAGGAAAGGAGAAGGAGGTGCCTATTGTAATCTGGGCAATATTTATGATTCCCTCAGGGAATTCCAACGAGCAATAGAGTACCACAAGAAAAGCTTGTGCATTGCCAAGAAAATCGGTGACAGGAAAAGAGAAGGATGTGCCTATGGTAATCTCGGCAATGCATATAATTCCCTCGGCGAATTCCAACAGGCAATGGATTGCCACAATCAACACCTCCGCATTGCCAGGGAAGTTGGTGACAGGACATGTGAAGGCAAAGCCTATAACGGTCTCGGCAATGCATATAGTTCCCTCAGTGAATTCCAACGAGCAATAGAGCACTACGAGGAAAGCCTGAGAATTGCCAGGAAAGTCGGTAACAAGAAAGGAGAAGGATGTGCCTATGGTAATCTCGGCAATGCATATCAATCCCTCTGCGAATTCCAACAGGCAATGGATTGCTACAATCAACACCTCCGCATTGCCAGGGAAGTTGGTGACAGGACAGGTGAAGGCGAAGCCTATAACGGTCTCGGCAATGTTTATCGTTCCCTCAGCGAATTCCAACGAGCAATAGAGCACTACGAGGAAAGCCTGAGAATTGCCAGGAAAGTCGGTAACAAGGAAGGAGAAGGATATACCTATGGTAATCTCGGCACTGTTTATCACTCCCTCAGCGAATTCCAACAGGCAATGGATTGCTGCAAGAAAAGCTTGAGCATTGCCAAGGAAATCAATGACAGGACAACAGAAGTACATGCCTATGGTAATATCGGCAAAGTTCATAGTTCCCTCGGCGACTATAAACGAGCAATAGGGTACTACAAGCAATCCCTGAGCGCTGCCAAGGAATTCGGTGACAAGGAAGGAGAAGAAGTTGACTGTGGCCGTCTCAGCTATGCTTATTATTCTCTCAACAACTTTGAAAAGGCAATAAAGTACTCAATGCAACACTTGAGCATTGCCGAGGAAATCGGTGACAGGGAAGGACAAGGATGCGCCCATAACCTCCTGGGTTCATATCATTTAGAATTAGATTTTTTGAATGAAGCTTTAGATCATTTTAGATGCAGTGTAAAAATCTATGACACAGTTAGAGCCAGTTGTATTTCCGAAGATGGATCGAAAATAAGTTTTCGTACGCATCATGAATTTGCCTATACTAATTTATGGCAGGTTTTAGTAATGCTTGAAAGGAATGATGAGGCTTTATACGCTGCTGAGAGGGGACGAGCACAGGCTTTGCTCGATGCCTTAAAAGTAACTTATGGCCTTACATCACTTTCTCCCAGGTCAATTGAATCTGAAGAAGAAGTCAGAAATATTTCAAGGAAGACAACTGTTTTAACAGTTTTTCTTGCCCTTCATTTGAAAACAGTCAATATCTGGGTGCTGGGAAAAGAGGGCAACCCTATTTTTAGGCAAAAGGAGATAGAACACGAAGATTCCTTTACTCTCCTTTTAGACACTGTTTTGAAAGGATGGAACGTTAAAAGAGGAAAAGAGGGCAACCCTATTTTTACGCAAGCGGAGATGGAAATTGGACGCGAAGACGAAGATTCCTTTACTCTCCTTTTAGACACTGTTTTGAAAAACATTGGGGCTGGCGTCGGTATTAAGTGCGAAAATCGGTCAATGGATAAGCTGAGTGATGACTCAACTCCCTCAAGTACTCGAGACGACAATCGAACATCGGAGACATCACAGGGGAGCACCCACCTTTTACAGCCATTATATGATGCAGTTCTTGGTCCCATTGAAGACTTGCTTGATGGTGATGAACTAATTGTAGTTCCTGACGGCCCTTTGTCTAAAGTTCCTTGGGCAGCCCTGAGTGAAACTTTCAGGATCCGCACTGTTCCCTCACTGACAAGTTTGAAAGTCATCACAGATTCTCCAAGTGATTACCACAGTAAAAGTGGAGCCCTGCTTGTTGGAGATCCATGTTTGAAGAAAATTACAAATAAACGGGGGAAACCCATTTATGATCCTCTGCAGTACGCAAAAATGGAAGTCGAGATGATTGGAGAAATTCTAAAGAGTCAACCTTTAACAGGTGAAGATGCAACCAAAGAAGCGGTGCTTCAGAGAATCGCGTCAGTTGCTTTGGTTCACATTGCAGCCCACGGAAAAAAGGAAACCGGAGAAATTGTTTTGGCTCCAGACCCCCGATGGGAATCCAAGACTTTCACGGAGAAGGACTGTTTTTTGAAAATGTCTGATATACAAGCTGTGAAGCTGAGAGCAAGGCTAGTTGTGCTTAGTTGCTGCCACAGTGGTCAAGGAAAGGTCTCGTCTGAGGGTGTGGTCGGTATGGCACGTGCTTTCTTGTTTGCTGGTGCTCGTTCCGTGCTGGCGACACTCTGGGCAATTGATGACGAAGCCACAATGATGTTTATGAAGTCTTTCTACCAACAACTTGGAAGTGGAGAAAGTGCGAGTGTTGCTCTTCAGAGGGCCACGAAATGTCTTCGAGACTCCCAGGATTATTCTGCTCCAAAGTACTGGGCTCCTTTTTTTCTGATGGGCGATGACGTTAAGATTGAATTGGAAAAAGAGTCATTGAGCGAGTCGTAAGTGGAGATTTTTTTTTCGTGCTGCTCTAGTAACAGAGGGCGTAAAAAGAAAAGCCAGAACCATTCTTGTCAAATTCAGATAAGAGGAAAATGACAGACTTGATAATAAAAAGAATAAAAAATGTACATAGTAAGGATGGGTAGGGTGGTAAGTGTTAAATTACCATGGATTCACTCAAGTAAATGCTATTCCTAACCGGCTACCAACACATTTCAAAAATCAATTGAACACTAGGCATTGCTTAATGTTCTCAATTGTTAAATAGTTTAGGTCAGGTGTGGATAAAAGATATACACAGCGAATAAGTTTCCTTCGTTTTTCTACAGGACTAGCACTATATGTAGAGAAATTCATAGCTTCAAAACGAACAGATATGTCTAACATGTTAAATGTTTTTCATTTTGCTATTTTTCATATCATCATCCATGGCATCCTAAAATTTAACGCTTTAACTTTTATTTTGTTTTGAAATGAAAGATTAATTAATGTATCAATTGTTACTTTCTTTACAGGGATGCACTGAAAGTTTGATGTCAACACAACTGCTGAAGTAGCGTGTATATATCTGGATTTCCCCAAAGAAAGAAGTGCGTTATTTAATAGCTGTCCTCAGTGGGACGTTTGGTAAAAAAGCGTGTTTTCATTTTAGTCATTTTTTGTCAGAAGATATTAAATAGAGAGATTTATAGTCACGCTTACGGCAAATGGCAAACGTCTACAGATTCAAGTTGAGAATTTCTCAGAATAGAACATATGCAGATAAAATGAAAACAGCTCAAAGCAATTCTTATGGATAAAACTAACTTGAAACTAACAATTTTTTGTAGATTTATTTAACAGCAAACGAGAAAGCTCGAGAAGTAAAGGGAACGCTTATTCACGTGGCACAAATCCACGGTTTGCCGTAAAGGCAACTCTAAATCTCTCTAATTAATAACATCAAAAAAACGTTGTAAATCAAAGGGCATACTGTATACTGTGGAGCTCTATATTAGCCACGGCTACACTTATCAACTTTAGGGGAAAAGACGAACAATTTTCGTGGGGAAAGAACTTAACGTTGTTTACAAGTATTTCGTTACTCCCGCAAAACTGACTGAATAGTAGTACAGATGATTGCCCCTTTTCTGGACGTGCAACTTACCTTAACCAGCAAATTGTAATTTGGCAAAGGAAAATTGCATTGTAATAATCGTAATATTGATGTCAATAATAATGATCATAATCATCATAATCTTAATAATTCCTTTTCAGTTTTTTTCCCCTCGGCTTTAAAGCAAATGACCGAAACAAATAATTCAAATTAATTTAACAGGGTTAACCCTCGGACGTACACGCAAATTCATACCCCAACCGTGGTATAAGGGAGAGGGGTGGATGGAACCCCTCCCCAGAGTTCTTGATTATGATAATATGCAGTATTTCGAAACAATTTTGCCTTCAGTGGAAAGCCTTTGATCTACTCAACAAGATGAGGTTTATTTTTAATGGATGGTGGCGCTGCTGAAGGCCTGTGACGTTACCAACAATAGTCGCCATCTTGGATTTCACCAAGACTTAGAAATCAGGTTAAAATCGCGATAAATGATAATTTTCTGTGCTTCACATGTAAAATAACGTTTAAATAAGCCCTTTGCATCATTTCATTGACAGGTTTTACTTTTATTGTTGAAAAAAGTTGTAAGAACAGGCATTTTTACTCAAAAATGGCTTGACCACTTGCTACTTCAGTCGTCATATGTCGTAACCATAGTAACTGACCATCTCTAAACTTGTCTCAAAATGCGCGCGAGGGGTAAACGAACAGCTTCTGAAAACGAAAGTTACTGATGTTTTATCGTCTAAAAAACAAAAAAAAAACGTCGGCGGGGGAGGGGTGGGGGGGTTGTGCGTCCGAGGGTTAAGAATCTGAAGTCTCCTAACGGGACGGAGACGAACCAATTAACTATATACAAGCGTGCCCGTGGTTTCACTAGGGTGATTCAGATTTTAATCAGTTAATTTTAAAAATTTTAAGTATGCACTGTAAGTATTTTTTGCATTCTGAACCGTGATTCCGAACCGCGGGTTACAATTCAGAATTTTAAGGTCTGGGTTAAAAGGGTGTATTACGTTTTGTATGATTGATTCCCGGTTTCCCAGCTGAACTAGTTATATTTTTTTTTAAAAAAAATTAATATGCTCATGTCTTGTTGATCGTTAATGTATAAATTGGTGGACAGCACAAAATGCAGACTGCAGACTGAATGCAGACCATTGTTTTCAGGGTTAGAAAACAATGGGACTATCAGCGGCTTCATAGCTTAGTTGGTTAGAACGTCGCACCGGTATTTTTTTCAGCCTTCTTACGCAATTGCATAAATCGCGTTTACAACTGCAAGGATCATTCTTCATTTGATTTCATTTCCGCAGTTCTCATATATGATTTATTTGATATGCATTTGTCAATCGGACGATTGTTGTCACCTTCCCATTTGCATGGTGAAAACAATGTTTTGCACTAAGAGCAGTCTGCAGTCTTCATTTTGTACTTATATTTTATAATGGGACACACATTGTGTCACTTAATTAAAACTGTTTTTAAATTCAAGCAAAATGGGATTTCAGGGGCGAGTTTAACTTATATGGATAAATTATTAGCGTTTCATACAAAGAGTAAACATTTTGCCTTCCACGTTTGGGAATGAATATGCTCGTAGTTTTAACTGTAAGTTTTGGACGATACACTGAATAGCCTGCGCAGAGACAGGAGCGAGTGACCGCTAGCGAATTGGACCGTCTGAGAATCATTAGAGTGACTTTTGCCTTATTTTAATAACCCTATTTTAGGAAAAGCGTTGCCAGATAGTCCTTCCATTCCTGCAAACAAAGGAAAAAGGGCCCGAAATCAAATTTTCATCCGAAAACAAGATTTGTTTTCCTTGTCTATTTTTCCACCACCACTTCCTTGTAGAGCAGAGTCCGCCTCTGTCTCTGCACTCGTAGACTATTTGTTCTGCCATTAAACTAGGTTTAACTCTTAATCTTGTTTCTTAATAACTGCGAGTTATTTCAATCATAAAAAACGTTTTCGTGTATTATTGCGTTACTGGTCTAACAGCTTTAATTGATGTCGACTTTAAAGTATCCAAACAGTGGAAGAGCTTAGATTAAGATTTTGGACGCTGCAATAACTTAATGATGTTTTGTTGTAATTGTGCTAGGTTGTAAAAGTTGGGCTTTTAATCAAATAGATCAGTTTCAGAACACGTATACAGCAACGTTCTGAGGTTTGGCGTTAGGAAATTACAACAATCGTTCAAGCTATCATCATTCTATCGAGAATCTGACCTATTTTTTTCGCCTCTAGATTGCTTTTCTCGAGGCCATTGACCTTTAGCCATCCCTCAGTTATATTATTTAAAGGAGCTGCTTTAATTTAGGGATGTCACCATTAGAAAAAAGGATAGGAGGTTGGGGGAAGGCAAACGCATTAGTAAGAAAAAAAGTCTCCACACGCACCATGATCAAAAAGGTTGTTCGAAGAGGAAAAATAGATTTTCACCTCAGGAGTAGAGAGAAAACTTTCATAGACCTCCCAAAAATTCAACACAACCCGTTACTTTCCTAATGGTTTATCCCTTATACCGCCCAATGTAACGGAATCCGGAATCTGGGAAAAATTTGCATGTGGAATCCGAAATCCTGGGCTTTGGAGTCTGGGGTACAGCTCAAACAATCCGGAATCCCACTAGCAATTGGAATTGAGAATCCAAGTTCTACTGACAAAGACTGGAATCGAGTACCTGGAATCCGGAATCAGTGACGTGGAATCCAGAATCCCAGACTATCGTGGATTCTCTTACATGGGGTGACTTATAGGTCGGCTTGTTGAACTGCTTCCGGGAACTGCTTCTACTCGATCCCAACACGTAGCACGATACAATGTTTAGTTTCTTATATTACCTTAAGATAAGTAATGTTGTATTAAACCTGAAGGAAACGACATGTTTACTGTGATTGTTGATCTCTTCGATGCCTTAAACCATTTTAAAATATATATAACTTCTCCTTGAACTGGACTAGTCAATGTTTGATTAATAAACCACTCCCCCCTCAGAGGCGCTAAACATTTTTCGATTCTAGGACGTTTTTCACATATTTTAAGACAAGTTTCTGATTCTGTCATCAAATCATCCCGTTAGGTAAATCGGTTTTCAAGCAAGAAAACCCAACTTTTAAGCTGAAGTTTGATGAAAACCATTTGACCTCGTTTCGCCATACAACGTCATAAGAACTATAAAGGCACCAAAAACTCATTCCATTATATTTTCAAAGAGTACCATGGTAGCAATTGGAATTGAGAATCCAAGTTCCACTGACAAAGACTGGAATCGAGTACCTGTAATCCTGGAATCCGTGACGTGGAATCCAGAATCCCAGTTTATCGTGGATTCTCTTACATGAGGTGACTTATAGGTCGGCTTGTTGAACTGCTTCCGGGAACTGCTTCTACTCGATCCCAACACGTAGCACGATACAATGTTTAGTTTCTTATATTACCTTAAGATAAGTAATGTTGTATTAAACCTGAAGGAAACGACATGTTTACTGTGATTGTTGATCTCTTCGATGCCTTAAACCATTTTAAAATATATATAACTTCTCCTTGAACTGGACTAGTCAATGTTTGATTAATAAACCACTCCCCCCTCAGAGGCGCTAAACATTTTTCGATTCTAGGACGTTTTTCCCATATTTTAAGGCAAGTTTCTGATTCTGTCATCAAATTATCCCGCTAGGTAAATCGGTTTTCAAGAAAAGAAAACCCAACTTTTAAGCAGAAGTTCGATGAAAACCATTTGACCTCGTTTCGCCATACAACGTCATAAGAAGCATAAAGGCACCAAAAACTCATTCCATTATATTTTCAAAGAGTACCATGGTAGTGGCTCACAACTTTGCCACGGGTCTCTTGGCAGCCAAATGACTCAGTAAAACAAAAATGTGTTCAAACCAAT